GGAGCTTCGGTCTATGATTTTGGAGGTGTACGCGCCCTGTTGAGCCACCTCAGGCCCAACGACTCCGAAAGACTTCGCAATGTAAAGTACTAGACCTTCCAAATTAGGCCGACATAATGCGAGATCTGAGAGCCTGATTTAGGGACTTTGATGTGTGATTTTGGAGGTATACACCCTGCTGAGCCACCCCAAGCCTAACGACTCTGAATGAGCTCGCAATATAAGAAGCTGAAGCTTTTAAATCAAGCGGCGAGTCATAGGAAAGTAAAGTCGCCTTTAAAGCGCTGCTAGATCCCCCCGTAGCAGCATAGAGAACGTCCAGTCCACAGGATGCGAATCGTGCATCGAGAAATAGCGGACCACAAGTCTGATCGTGAGTCTTGAGGACCTGTGCAATCTTGCGACCGTTTGGCATGCTCCAAGGTGCTTGTAAAATCAGAACTTAATGTCATTTTTATGAAGGCAAGCTCAAGGCCAACTTCCAAAACCCGGGATCGACCTTCTAATTCCCAACCAGGTCCACTATCACTCCTCCGCCTTCCCCTTCCCCCCCGCCTCAAACCCCTTATGCTCAATCTCCACCACATCTCCCCCCCTCAACCGAACCCGCCTTCTTCCGCCCCGCCACCGCCCCAAACAACCCCCTCACAATCCCCACCAACTGCATCCTGCTCTGCCAAATCGGCATACATCAAATCAGCAGCGCCGCGCACCCACTCCAAATAAACACCACCACCGTCCACCCTGCAAAGAAGTTCCTCGAAAACACATACCCCGTCCCATACAACGAGAACGGGATGATAATCAAATAACCAAACACAACACCGCGCTCACGATCTTCGCCCAGTTGCTCGCCTGCCGCAAGCCCTGCGGGTCCCAGTCCGCGCCCAGATCCACGTCCTCGCCGTACGCGTACACGGCGTCGCCGGCGCGCGGTTGGAGCGCTTGCATGAGGAAGAGCATGTCCCAGTCGTACGGCGTGCGCATGAACGGCCACATGCAGGCCCAGATGAGCAGGGGGAGGCACAGGCTGACGGTGTAGCCGGCGAACATGCTCCAGTTCTCGAAGGTGGTGGCGACGTTGATTTCGCCGTACATGCCCTTGGTGGTCCCGAGCCGGGCGGCGAGACCGCAGATTGTGCCGACGGGCGCGGCGATGATCATGTAGAGGGACGAGACGTGCGCGTTTGTGATGGCGAGGGCGATGGGGATGACGGCCGCGCCGAGGACGACGCCGAGGAATTCGAGGATCCAGCCCATGGAGATGCCGGAGGCGTTGAGGGCGGTGGCGAAGGAGGCAGAGAAGATGGCGAAGCCGGTGAGGGCGCCGTGGGAGACCATTTTGAGCTTTTTGTCGCTGGCGGTGGGGTTGATGTAGGGCTGGTAGATGTCGAAGGTTACGATGGATGCGTGGGCGATGATCTTGGCGCTGAAGGAGGAGGTTACGGCCATGAATACCATCAAGATGACTGCGACGGGGCCGCCGGTTCCCATTACGGCCTGTGCGGCGAGAGGGAGAATTAGGGCGTTGTTGATCTGGTAGGCGGTGATTCTGCCTGGGATCAGCCAGTACTCAGAGTCTTGGAGGCCGACGGCTACGAAGCTCATGGTTGCACAAAGATCTAAAGGTATGGAGAACCAGGCGAATCCTCCGTAGAAGTATCCCCGGACGACAGCGAAGGGCTCTCCCGCGATGGCCTTCTGACCATACTGCTTGCTGTTAGCTGAAGTCTTGAATAGATGGGAAGAAACATACAGATGCGTCCACAAAGACTGATCCGAGACCAGACACCAGAATGACTCCAGCGAGTAAGAGACTCTGATCTGATTCCATGGTAAGATACTCTCCACCTTTGGTTCCATAGGCAGGATGTGCAGTAGCGGCTGGCTAGAGTAGGTCCCAAAGTGCTCCAGGGGAGCCCAATGCCGGCACGGAGGCTGCTGGACTCATTACAGCGAACATGGTGATAAGCAGAATGACAAAGATGATCATAGTACTATGTTGCGTTAGTATTTGTGGTCGTGCCGGAGATAGTAGCACTCACTGAATATAATCAGACAAGAATGTAGCCTTCAAGCCGCCCAAATACGTGTAGACTACAACGCCGAGAGGAATCAAATAGTTCATCGCTATAACATTATCTCCGGTATTGACGTGCAGCGCTGTTGACCCGCCCAAAAGAAGTGCTGCAGTAATGAGAATCTGGACCGAGACTCCATACACGAAGAAGATGATATGAGAATGATCTTAACGGTGGCACCGCTAACGAACCACCATAGGCCGAGGAATCCGAACACGTAGGTTAGGCGAACTGAGTTGAGAATTGTAGTAGCGTAACACCCTAGCGAAGTCAGTAAGAGTTCGGATGAAGAAATTTAGGTATGCATACACGAGGAAACAACCGCGGATGCGACGAGCCCGGATTTGACGTTCTTCCGAGCTGTCAACTGCATGTTGGTGTCCTGGCCATGTTAGTACCCTGTATAAGATCACCCCAATGTTGAAGTTAGTCTACTCACTGCGCTCTCATGAAGGTACTTCCGTGATATCCAAGTGATAGTATTCATCGACAAGGCAAAAACTATGCCAAACCCTGAAAGATCTCAATTAAATTCATGTGTTATGTGAGGAATGGATTGCACATACCGAGAACGATGCCATAGGCCACCCCTTGGGACAGTGGTGGCTTCACCACCGCGACTGCTTCCATGATGTCTATTGAATGCCTAAATGATCTAGTTGCAAGCTAAGATTCTAATAAAAGTAGAGCGGAGATCTGACAGTTCCAAGTACCAGATCGCCGGGAGCATAGCAATATATGTACATGCTCAGATATCGGACCCGGTCCGTCTTCGGTGGTTCAAGATCCTATCCCTATCATGCCGATTGCCTAGCGAGACGAAGCTTCATTTCCATAGCCTCTTGATTTACCACTAAACTAATCGGAGTAAGTCATTTCGAATGATAAGGATAGCTGTCGACCAATAGATCGAGCAGGGATGCCGAACGTGCTTAGCGATCATTGGATGGTTCTCGACGGAATAGGGATCGGGACCCCCCAATCAACACTACCAATAACTCAACGGCCTAGAATTCGGCATCAATTGTTAGTACCTCAATCTGGGACTAAGCTGCGTTAGGTGGCAATGTTTGCATATGACATCCGAAATCGGCTCTGTGGCTGCGGGGATTCTTAGTATTCACCAAAAAACGTGATATTATTTAGTAACAGCGAGCTATTCCGTAAAGCTTGACCTTTTAGTTACTCAGAATCTTAGAGGATCAGATTCGTTGCGCAAAATTGTCAGAGCGATGACAGGTCGAATAGCAAAAGGGTCGAATGGGAAAAAGAATGAAGATGTGAGCGTTCCAAATACGCCCTGACTCTGCTGGACAGGGAGCGAACAAATATGCATGCAAGCTCGAAGTTGCAGGGACATCGTGAACCATTGTTGCCGTGGCCATGCTGTTGTCGTCCGTGTCGGGTATAGCTCCTAGTAATTTGCTCTAAGAGAGAGGGTCTATCGCGCGCGAGATATTTGTGTCTGAATCGTGGTGTCCACTCGCGCTGAAGAGTCATGAAGGTTCTTCCACATATGGCGCTGCCATACTGTCCTAAGGAACAACTCGCCCGGCGTGTCCTGATCCATAAATGGAATGGGGAGCATGGTAGCGAGCCCGCGCTCTTCGACAATGAAAACTCGATCACCAACTTTGTGGGGATTCGCGGCAACAGCAGCCTGGTAACCAGCGGTGGTATTGAATTCGACGAAGATAGAACGCTGCACCTGGTTAGCTTTGGTATTGAATTGGGGCGAGTTGTATACCTTTTGTCGATCAAAGTCAAAATCTTCAATGTCACCACACTTTAATAGAGCGGCCTTCAGTGCTTTTTCGTTGACGTGATAACTAGCAGTCTTTATGAGAGCGCTCTTGGTGTATGGGCCCTCTTCATCACCCGGCCAGAAAAGATTAGACCAGCAACCAGGCTTAGGGCATTTGCAAGAGTCTTCCGTCGGTGAGTAGATATGGCGGAGCAGAGGAATGGGTCTGAAGATATGTGCACAGTGCACATACACCAAAATATTGTCGAAGTCCTCGACCTTGAATTCGTGGTTGGGCTCGACTATCCGGTCAAGCACAGCTTTTTCAAAGGCACGACGGCTCAAGAAAAGGGCCCCTACACGAACGGCATGATTTCCAGGCGCCACTTTGATCTCCAGAGCATCGCCAAAATCCCTTCTCGCTGGAGTTTCCATTTTGAGATTTCGGATATGCAGATAATGAGGCGCTTTTTCCCAAGAAAGAGTGCTTTAGAAGGGCATATTGTATGAGGAGACAAGGTAGAGTGCGTTCAGAGCTGAAGACACTTAAGAATATGAGATTTCGATGATTTTCTGGTTGGCAACGGCTCTGTTCTGTGCTTCCATGGGACGACCACGAATGATTCCTTGGTACACTTTGTCGCCCAACCATCAGAGGCAAAGAAAATCAGGCTTTGAGCTGAAAGGTGTGCTTTATTAAGGCAGTAAAATTGGCCAACCCACGAGGCATTGTGAATATTCATACATAATTGTGGGATGAAGGGATCCTCCAGGTATTCTCGATAGCCCTGAACCGATCCAATTGCTGTCCATAAATCTGTCCAACGGCGCTGTGAGTCAGTACGAAACAGTCATTTAGAAGGGTCCAAGATACAGCTTAGACTTTAGGATGCTTCACTGCAGACACTGATGGGCCGAGCCATCCTCCGCGAGGTCGGGCTGTAGATAGAGCGGTGTAACACAGCAAAATCTTACTGCCTGGGGCGCCAAGGCGACAGCACGTTGGCCCGTTTAAGATCGATCCCTGCTAGAATAAGCGAGAAGTGCTTTCTGCACACGGGCGTGACAGTAGTACATATGCTTCGCTGGCTGTCAGCTTCGAATCCATCATCCCTTCTTCAACTTCTCATCACTTTACTTACTGGTATTGTCTACGGAACCTCAGAATACACGATCTGGTGGCGACTTGCTGATAAGAAATGCGATGAGGACTGACTGATAGACTGAAACTAGTAGATAACTTTATGGCTTTGGCGTACTGGGATATGCAATGGAAACTAAGCTACCTTTTGGCTGCTAGGGTATCTAGAAGCGAGGTCACTCCTGATGGTGGTGTCGAGGAGTCAAGAGTGGCACTCAAGCCGTGAAATACTGCGTGCTTTGAACTGAAGACCGAAGATTGTGATGTAGGTTTTGATGCATTTGAATGAAGGCGACGTTTTGACTGGCTTGCTGAGTAGCGGCTGAGCCACTCCTGGCGGTAGCGTTGATATGTCAAGAATGAAGTCTATGTTAGGGGATATCAATGTGCTCAACCTTGAAACCGAGCACTGTAAGGAAAGTGCCGTGTAACAATAAAAGCGTTGAAAATCAACCTACCTTTTAACTGACCGGATGCTGAGCAGGTACGGCACCCCTGACAGTGATACAGAGGAGTCAAGAACGGCACCTGAGCTGTGACATATCCGCGTAATGAGCCTCGAAAGTAGGACCGTAAGAAAAGTGACCTCATATGCGTTCGAAGAGCCGGTTAGGGCAAAAGATCGAAAGTATTGCTGCTTCAGATTGAAGTAACAGTCAGCAGCCAGCAGAGCCCACTCACTCACCCCCCTCTCCCCTCAAGATCTCCTCTATGCTGTCCAAACGCGCAATTTTCGCCCACTCATGCGACCGCTCCCGATACCGCTCCGCCAATTCCCTCCTCCCCAGAAACCCCGCAACCAAATGATCCACATGATCCAGCATCGCCTGCATCCTCGCTGCGACAATCGCAACGCGCCCGTCATCGTCGTCGTTGCGGAAAGTGATCTCAAAGCCGGCCAGGATATACGCGAAATCCCACATATTCGTCCCCATCTCCTCCATGAACGGCGCGAAACATCCCTTCCATGCAGCTATCCTGCGACGCGTGTCCGCGTCGCGTACAAGCGGGAGTAGAGAGGCCCGGAAGGCGCCGTCAGATTCGGTGGCAATCTGAGCGAGGGTTTCTTGGCGAGGGGTGAGACGGCGCGGGAAGAGTTCGCGACGGCAGAAGGGACACTTGTTGGCATTTTCATTCTCACCGGTCGTCCACTCAGTAACACAGGACATGCACATAGAATGGTTGCATTTTTTGGTGCTAACACGGTGTCTGTCTGCGGTGTTGTAGGGATCGAAGCAAATGGGGCAATCGGGGTCGGTGTCTTCGGCAGTGGGCGAGTTTGCGGGTCCTAGCTCATCCAGGGCAGAATTTACGATTTGAGTCAGTGTTTCCGCATTTATCGGTTTTGGTTCATCCCAGTCGGTGCCTGGGTCGAGAATGTGTGGTAGGGTGAGGCCAACAATCGACCTCCAGTTGGCCACTAGATGTTCGAAGCGGCAAAGCCTTTCTAGGAAGGAGACCCAAGAAGCAGATAACGTCTGTGTGGATTCATGGCGATGGTTTGGTCGGCTGCCGAAATCCATAGCCATGTTGAAGAGCCGGACGTAGCGTGCCGGTGGATTATACTCATCGTAAACCAGAGGCTCGGGTTCATTTGGAGAATTGCGTTTGCGCCACTCCTCGCGTAAGAGGTGATGGTAAGTCTTGAGGACCAGATTGATATGGCCGAACATATGCATGCCGACGTGATCAGTGTAGTGTTCGCATCCTTCGTCACATTGGTTGTGCGGTATTCGTTCGAGATCTAGCAGCAGACTAGTTTGTGGCAGGGAGCCAGACATTCCCATATCTGTATCTATGATTTTGGAGCTTGTTTGAAGAAAAGCTGTGGGGGAGGCTGTGGTGTGAGAGAGTCGATATGGAATTCCGAGTTTTGTGAAGTTGGACTACGACCAAGTTGTGAAGGGATATATAGTCCGAGATTATTAAGGCCGTACCTAAACAATACAATGTGCATTGTTTGGAATGATTAATTCTGTCGAGCAGAATTACAGCAGTCATTACATTGTATTGACAGCTCTCAGTCATTCGGTATGCTGGTATTGATGTCTTCGTGGGTAGCACGTATCCAGCGTAAAGCAGATCAACATGGCTTATTGGATGTTATCAAGGTTTGAGTCATCTTGGATGCGTCTACCTATATACAACGCATTTTCAGGTTAGCATCGCCTTAGTCCACGCAAAATTCATCCGGTTTTTCTTACCAAATTTTCGTGTCCGCAAACCAACTGTTATAGGGCTTCATGTTAGAAAGAGTCTGTAAAATCAGCCCCGCAACAGCCACAACAACTCCCGCTTCTCAAACCATTACCAACTTCTACTCTTTGAACTTTTAAACCTTCTCAATGAATTCTTACATTTTCTACCCGAAGCATTCGTCAGGGGGTTACTTAGTCCACCACACCTCCACCTACCAACCACCCTACCCCCACCGCCGAAACAAACAAATCATCGCCTCGTCTCCAACCACCACACACCACTCACCACCCCTACTCCACGCAATCTGCCTTGTCGCAAAATTCACCTTGGGGATAACCACGCTCTTATGCGCCGGAATCGGGAAGAAGGGGTCTCCGATAGCCTTTGCAGCCCCAGGGCCCACAACCGCCTTCCCCTTGCCCTTTCCACTCACAGAAAAAGATCCTAAACTCGACGCCTGTGCACTAGTCGCCTCACTGGCCCCTGAGGTTGCGGACTCGGCGATGCTTTCTTCACGAACACGGGCGAGGCTTTCTTTGTCTTTGCCTTTCTTGCTCCTAGATCTCAGCTTTGTGTTGCCGCTCAGGTTCACGTCGCCACTCTCGAGCCTATGCAGATCCCAGAAGAAGATCTTGCTCTTTTCGTTTCCCATTACCAGGATCGGGGAGTGACCTAGCTCGTGAAAGAGACCGAAGCGCATGTAGAAGAGCTGAGTGTGAGGGGCATCGAATTGGAGAAGGCGCTGGAAACGGCCGCGCCAGGCGGAGCGAGTGCCGGAGGAGTCAGAGTTCTGAGTTTGGTGATTGGTACGGGAGCTGTTGGCAGAGGAGAAAGGGGGGATTGGGGCTTCAGATAGAGAGGGAAGGGGATCATCGGAGTTGAAGCCGTCGATGCGCCAGAGGAGGATTTTGTTTTCTTTGGCGGACCGCGAGATTATGAGGTCGCCGTAGAAGCGAATGCTGGAGGGGGTTAGTGTATCCAAATCTTCAAGGAGTGCTTCGAGATAACAAAGCAGAGAAGTAGAGATTGGGGTTTAAGTAGGATATATGAGAGAGTTTATGGATAGAGCACTAACCAATCTACGAAGTCGGTATGAATCTCGGTAGTTGAGAAGTGGGGATAGTGTACGAGGGTCGTCTTGTCCGTCCCTGCGGTTTCATTGGGAAGTTCTGGTAATACCCACTTTCGAGGTTAGTCTGAGGGTACGGAAGTATCTGGGGTAACTTAATGTGACGTACGAGGTTGACCATGGTGTCCATACCACCAGAAAGCAGATAACGGCCATTTCTATGGAATGCCTCTAAAGTGTCAGTTTGATCTGTCAGTGTAGGTAAAGTAACGACATACTACTGCCAGAATGCCTTCTTTGTGCCCGCCCCCACCACATTTTACCATGGTGGGGTTCTTGCTGTGCTTGGGATCTAAACTCCATATCCGTATGGAATGGTCCATAGAGCCGGAAGCTAGTATTCGGGGAGTGAGGGGAGATATGGTCAAATCGTTGATAAGCTGGAGGAAGTCAGTAGGAGCCTACCACGACTACAAGAAAAGCTTACCGCGCCATGTCCTGTCAACGTCTACAGTCTGTTAGAAATGCCACGCCAGTCGAACCGAAAGAGTTCGTCTGAGTACACACCGTAGCTAATTCTCCCGTCCTCACGTTCAGAACCTTGATCTTGGCAACTGAGCCCGTAATGCAGACAAGTGGGTCTCCATTCTCTGCTTGTGCCCACTCGAGGCTGTTGAGTGTCCACTCCTCTGCCTAAAAGGGTGAGTAAGAAGGCGAGTAAAACGATGGGTCCACAAACCTCTTCTTCATCCTTGAACCACTTGAGAACTTCGATAGCATTGCCTTTTTCGAGCACGCATCTGCATACAACGGTCTACAGCAGGGTCAGAGACGCACACGTGGGCGCATCGGGGCACGCACCTCTCGGTCACCAACAACGGCGAAGACGGGATCCACACCGGGCGGTGTGTAGGGGTAGAACTTGATATCATACCAAGGAGCTGGGGATGAGCGTGATTAGTAAGAGCGGTGAGACGTTGTATAAGCTCACAGGAGCGTACAAACGTACTATGAACATCTGTACCCTTGGCCTGCGGAACCGGTGTCAGCAGAAGGATTCAGTTAGATGGAATTCTGGACGCACTCCAAGCCTCACTGTAGATCTAAGCGAGGGCAGATCGGCTGGACGATGGGGCGTCGTGTCGAATTGCCTTGCAGAATCCGAGTGAGCGGAGGGTGCGTCGGCGAAGTCTTGAGCGGCAGCAGTAGCGTATCTAGCGGCCGCCTCTGAAGTGGACTGCTGGTGGAAAGCTTGCAAGAAGGCGCGATCCCTGCCGGTGCCTGTTGGGGAGCCCATCCGCGAATTGGCGCTACAAAAGCGCCTGGGACCGGGCTCGTGGTGTTGGCGCGGTGAAGTTTGCCTTCACAGCTAGCAATCAGGGGCATCGGGCGAGGGCAGACAGTTGCTGAGATGAATGCAGAAACTCGCTGTGCACATTCTGGGCGAATTCCGCGTGTGGTCAATCAGTGAATTGGACAGAGTCGTGCCGGTGGTACCCCCTGCGGTGAGGAAGGTGGTTGGGAGAAAGTTGGATGGCGAATCAAAAACAGCTAGCGTATGTCGATCGCTTGGCTCGTTCATCGGATCGTCGATTTGGCTTGCGCACGCAAAAGAAACGACACAGAGCCACCAACACAATTCGGCCGGTCGGCAGCCTGCGACGCGAGCAACCACTTCCGGCACGCCGAAGCTGCTGTCGTGCAACTGCTGTCGAGTCCGCCGGTTGGTGGGTCTGCGGAAAATTCCTCGGAGGAGGCGCCGAGGTGCTTGTGCCGTTGTGAAGAGTGAGGCGATGGTGCTGCAGAGGGCCGGCGAGCAGATGAGCAAGGTTTTGCCTTGGTCCGGGTTGCTGGGCCGATGAACTGAGGGCGCTCTGTCGCTGCTGTGAGCATTCCAAGGGCAGTTGTTGGTGGGAAGGAGGTGTCTTGGCCGCCGAAAGAGCCCAGATCATGCATCCTCCGACGCCCATATCACGCCTGAAGTCGCCCAGATATCAGGGTTCGGGGACGCTTCGTTAGAAAAAGCACGTGCAGGCGTGTGTCTCTCGCCGCCCTTGGTTGACGCTGTCATTTGTGCATGGCTAGCCGACCCGCGACTCCACACCAGGCCCAGCGTTCCCTCTCTGTACACAACGCGTCCACCGCCCGTTGCTGGGTCCTTTGCTCGCTGAATGCGAGCCGAACTACACGCTCTGGTGCACAGGATACTCACCGAGGGCTTCCTCCGTCAAGGGATCTCGTTCCGTACCTGTCCATCATCGTCCGGGGCTGGGATCAACGTCTTGCTTCACCTCGCTAGAATACATCGCCACCATTACGGCCACACTCGCGCCTCGTCCGGCAGCCCACACGCTTCCCAGGCACGCTGCAGACCCGCACTGCAGCCCGCCCATGCCATTGACCCCATTCGTCTTGCCCCCGTCCCGCCGGACGCCGAAAGAGCTGCGGCAGGGTCTGTCGCCCAATGCGCCCTGCCGACTGCCCGCATTCCAGCACTCGAGCGCGCCGCGGCCTGGGGCCTCTTCACCACCACGGACCACCCGGCTGCTGCTCTCCCAGCTCGAGGACCCTGATGCTGCTCTTCCGCTGCGATTCGGTGCATTCATGCCTGCGCGTGGCTTGCTGATCGCTCGCCCAGCATCCTTGTGGGGATCTATATAACGCCTCCTACCCCCAGCCTTCATCGCAACCTCGCAGCCGCATTCGCATCCACGCCCACGGGAACATTGGCGCAATTCATCTATTCGCTCCTCCACGGCTCGCTGTTCATCTCCAACGCAGCCATTCGGCCGACGTTTGCTGCTGCCGAGTGCAACCTGCGAACCGCACGCCAGCCGCCCTATCCTGACACAGCCGACCCGAGTACAAGACTCGCAAAGGTAGCACCTTTAAGCACGACTCGAGGCGACCCGCCGTGATCCCCGTATAAGAAGGTCTCTTGGGACTCTGTCCTGTCTTCACCGCCGGTCCTGCGCGAATTATTAGATTCCGCCCCAGGACCACCCGGTGCAGAAGATCGTCAGCAGTCTCGTGAATACATCAGCCGCCTATTCTCCACCCAGTCCGTGACCATGGATACCACATTCATCACCATTCACGGTCAGTCTCATCTCTTCTGGGCCCGAGATAGCACTGACCTTCCCTCCCACAGACCTCTCGCAAGATGCGAAAATCTTGTATTCGTCCGACTCTATAGTCGACATCCTAGGCCACACTCCCGATGAGGTGGTCAACAAGTCTTGTTGGGACTTCTTCCATCCCGAAGAGCTCCCTTTGGCTCGCAAGCTGCACAGTCGAGGGGTAGACCTCGACAAGGCCGCTGTGCTAGCCTACTGCCGCATTCAGAACCGCCAGGGAGAGTGGGTCGGATGCGAGTGCTGCTTCTCGGTCGTCTACGATGTCATGGTCGTCTGCACCTCCATCTATCGTCGTGGCGAGAGTAGCCAAAGTAAGTGCTTCCAATCTATGATTTAGTCCTTTGTCTAATTCAGTCCAGAGCGAGCGGTGGAAGCACCACTCGTACGGCGTCTCTTTTCGTCCTCGCCCAAGGACCCTCGATACCACATGTTGTCTCATCTGTCCAGCAAGTTCAGCTTGGGTCCTCAGGAACAGACTCACGAGCCCCGTGCGGCACTCTTCCTCAATCGCTTCACTCGCACCCTGACCGTCATGTATGCTACTAGTGGGATTGAGCAAATCATCGGCATTCCCAGCGAGGAAATGAAAGGTCGCAGCTTCTACTTCTGCATCCAGGAGAATTGCCTGGAGGATGCCATTAGATGTTTGGAGTCGGCTAAAGGCAACGACTCCATCGCTTACCTTCGCTTCTGGTTCCGTGATCCCCGCCAGGACGACCGCCACCACTCCATCGCAACCAATGAAAGCGAGGACGATGCTGAGATGACGGATGTGACCACCTCTGACGACGAAGATGACAATGGAACTGGCACTGGTATCGGCGGATCCACCTCCACCACATCACACAGCATTGATACCCATGAGGAACGTCCTCATAACGACTCCCGCGCCAACTTGGGCTCCAGCTCCAGCCCCGCTGACTCCACCGAAGCCATCTTCGGCGAGTCTAGCAACCCACACTCGATCGACTCTTCAGTCGGCTCCCCCGGCGGCTCCAGCGTATCCCGCAACGACCCCATCGAGCTCGAAGCAGTCGTATCCTGCACCTCGGACGGTCTCGTCGTATGCTTGCGTCGTGCCCGTCCCATAATGCCGTACAACGCAGGCCAGATCCCTGCCGCAGCCGGCCAACTCCAAGTGCCTCGGCGTGGCATGTTTGCCGCGCCTTGGGCTCCAGAGCCTGTGTTCCTCCCGCCGCTCCCGGCTGCTCCACCATTCCCGCTCGGTGCTCAGCATCCAGCTATGATGAACGCGCCATGGCAACAACCGCAGGTTGGTCCAAGCCAGATGGACTTCATGAACTCGATCCGCGACGTTGCGGTCTTCGCATGGGCCCTCACTGGCATCAACGGCAGCCTTGCAGAATACTCTCGAGGCAAACCCGTCGGTGACAGCCAGCCGCCCGAGGGCTTCCCTATCTGGCAGCCTGAAGGGGGTTTTGGCCATGACGGCGCCGGCATGCTCCCTGCGACGCCGTCGGGATACCAGTCTGGCAGCGGCAGCGGTGGGAGTGTCTCCGGCACTGCGCAGAAGGATCCCTTTGGCGATCCCGGACTCAGTGGAAACGGCGGCCAGGGGCGGAACCCATACCAGTGATCTCTGCGACGTTGAGAAATCGATGTCGGCCAGGTCACCACACAACACTATCTCGCTTCGGTGACACGAAGCACACACCATTTTTCGGAGTATATGAGGCATGAGGCATGAAGATATAAGGTATCTTACGGGTGGATTACTGAGTTGAGCGGGTGGCAGATGGCATGTCTGGTTCAGATTCGAGCCACTTTACGCACAAGCGGTGGATCTTTCGTTTACGGTTTTGGGGATGTGGGGAGTATATATATTAATATTAAGACGCACGGCTTTGTACCGAGTCACCTCTTCTCTCTTCTCTTTGAAATGCGCCTTGTGTAGGAAATATTCTGGTGAGGGAGGTTGCTGTTCTTGTTCGATCCTGCGACAATGCTGGCGTTGAGTTGCCGGGGGGGGGGGGGGGGGGAGAAGATTGGGTCGTGAAGAGGTCGGTGGTAGAAAGTAACTTCCATGCTGTCGGCTTGGACATCTTGTATCTCGGGATTACAGATGATCTGGTAAGCCATCCCGAATAGCGCGAATAGTCGTTGATAAGAAGGGATTGGATCCGCTTTGATTCGCCTTGTCGAGAACTATACGTCATGTCTAAATTCCTCATACCGCACCGAAGCACCTCCGACAGCGGTAAGCAAGAGTACACAAGGCGTCCATTAAAGCACCATCACACTCTCATATTCTCATCCGAGCTATGTCCTCAGGGATGGATAGCGTGAGCTATCTCCAATCTTTCTTTCGCATTCTTCCTCATCGGATGCTTTCATCAAAGTTCCATCCATAATACACCCTCATTTCGTTCAATTCCACCCCCCCCACTCTCCCTTCCCCTATCGCTCGTCTCCCGCTCACACCCATCAGCCGCCGTCCCCGCTACCCTACCTCGCCCATCCCATTCCAACCCACAAACCCACCGGCGCCACCCCCCTCAAATCACCCGCCACCCGCATCATACCACTCCACCTCCTCCGCCTCCTCCCCACCATCCCCCTCCTCCGCATCCCCATCCCACGGCCATCCCCCAAACCGTCCCGGATCTTGACCCATTAGCAACCACTCTCACAACCCTTTCAACAACGGGCGGGAAACTCACCAAAACCAGGCCCCCGCAACACCCCGGCCAGCTCCCGCGCCCGCGCGCGCCGCGTTTCGGGGCCCATGGCGCAGAGCTGCGCGCCGAGCGTCGTCCATGCGGCGAGGAACGCAGTCGTGTCTTTCGCTACAGGCGGTGGCGGAGGAGGAGGGGGAGAAGGGGATGTGTCGGGTAGGGGCTTTTTCGGCGCCTTCTTCTTGCCGCCGCGGGCGCTGCGGTGGGCTTTCTTCTTGGGTTTGGGTGGGGGCTCGGTGGGCGTATTCGTGGGCGTATTCGTGGGCTGGTTTGACGCGGCGGGTGAGAGGGTGAAAGTTTCCAGTCTTTCGATGGCGATGGGTGGGGGGGTGGTGGTGGAGGTGGGGAGGGCGGTGAGGGGAGCGAAGACGTTGGTGGAGGGGGCGAAGGGGGTGGTGTTGGGCATTTTTTGCGCCGTAGAGGACCTTGAGTTGGTGGGGTGGTGAGGTGTGGAGGGTAGGGTGTGGACGAAGGAGTGGCTGGATTAAGGTTAAGGTTGAGGTTGAGGTGGTAACCACGTGCGAATGACTAAGCCGCCGACGAAGAGGAGGACGGTGAGGTCTGCAGCGGAAGGAGGTGGTGGTGATTGCCAGTACTAGGCCATAAGTTTGGGCCCGCGAAAATCCTCCTGCTCCGCTGTTGCTCTTTCGGCACCACTGTAAGGAGTGCCCTAGCTGATGTGTCTTCAGTTAGTCAAAAGGTAGTGTGATATCCACTGCGTTGGCCCTTACATCGTATTTAGAGTTTCCAAAGCCTGTCAGAGCACTCCAAGCAGTTTCAAGGAGTGACCAAACTCATGTCTTGGTACTGAGAGTCATCTACACGTGAGACGTTACAAAATACTACTGCTCGGGGTTCGTTCTTGCTCGCCCGATGCCGCTGCAGAGGGTGCCCTGGTAAGCCGGTGGCCGGGTGGCTTAAGGGCAGCCCGATTCCCACGGCGGTAATCTTGATATCGCATCTGGAAGAATGAAAGCATGTGGGGGCACCCCAAGCAGTGGCAAAGCGGTGTGTCCAGGCCTTTGGCAAGACTGTGCGATTTAAAACACCTGAAGTACTGGCATACGTGTCGGTGAATCCAGCCACAGATTTTGCCTAGGTTGTAAATCGAGCTGAGCGGTGTTTCTCTATGGCACCTCATGTAATCAACTAGGCCACCCCGCGTGTTGAGATTCAGCCGTCGGAAGAATTCTCAAGATGTCGTTTCCGCGGAGGTTTAAATTGCAGCATCTCTTTACTAGGTGGATTCAGCCTCCCGAGGACTTTCCTGCCAATTGATCTTCCAAATTCTCATGATGTTATTTCGGTGGGCTGCAAATTGGCCGTGCACCATTAATGGGAGGTGTGTTCCCGCCGTATTGAACCCTCAGATGACTGTCTATGGCCTCTTATGGTTATCCAACTTTCTGTTTCTCACGATATCATTTCTGGGGGCTGTAATTTGGAGCGCCGCGTTTCGGGGCGTGGTCAGAACGTCAAGTCTCGAATCATAGCTAGACCAGCATCAACGAAGGATGAACTCCTGGTCTGGCTTCGAGCGAAGGAGTTCGCCATTCATCGCGTTATGAACGTATGCGTCGCCGACGAATTGGTGTTGACCGAAGTATTTGCGGATGATGTAGAAGACGTCGCCACCATAGAGTAGGCACACAAGATCGCCGGGGGTCGCGTGCTTTGGTCCAATTCCAATAAAGCCGGTCTGAGTGACGAAGAGACAGCGAGACGCGAGAGTTTCAACTAAGGGCTGTGTAGCTTGTACTTTTGAAGGACCAGCGGCCCGTCCTTCTTCAGCATCAGACGGCTTCTCCGCTGCGAAAGAAACAACTCTTCTTCTTCTCGTTCCTTCAGCAAGAAGCTTTGAACGATAGAAAGCAGGGTACTTATTCGGAGGATCACTGGGTAATGGATCATCATATTGCGGATACCCGCTGGGTAGATCTTGGCGTCCAGAAGTGGGGAATCTGTTTTCATCAATGATCCACCATCTTGTCGACTTTTGAAGAGGCTGGGTGAATATTGGTTCGGTATGATCATGCGTAGTCTGGACAAAGGCATCGCACACAACGGAAGGTATCGCGGCGGCCCTATTCACTTGTTCTTCTGGCTCATCGCCATCCCTACTCGATGCTGATTGAGTGGAAGCTCTTCCGGCTCCTGCCTTGGGTAGGTGTGCCGGAATTTCTTGTATTATACTCGGAAGAAGATCGACGATGTCGCGTCCGTTCTTGAAAGGCCCGAAAACATGGTTGATGGTGTCAATACACGAACCCTCTAGGCAGAGCGTGCTCATGTCATCCGAGAAACAAGCGATAGCGCTCGTCGTTCCGGAAGCTTTGTACTGAGCATGTTCATCAGATTGCCACAGTTCTCCGGCGGTCATCTCAGTGCTAAAGTCGGGGACCCAGGACTGGAACGTGGCGGTTTGAGTTGAACTCTTGCGAGACAGAATCTTAAGGTTCCGGTCATGACGGACTAAATGCCGAACAACTTCCTTGCACACATGCTCAAAGTTCTTCGAGTAATCAGGAATGATGGCATCTCGGTCGACTTCGCGCGCGAGTCCGAGTAGCGCATAAATTTTGTCGCGTGGATCAGTCGCCTGGGTGTGCGCAGTGAGAAATAGCAGGGACGCCAAGTCTATCTCTCTCTCATTCCTGAATCGATCGCGAAGAGCCAGGAATGATGCCATTGGAGGAAGGCCTGCTCGAAACTCAGAGAAAAACATGTTGAAAGCAGAGCAAGGAGCACTTTGAGTTCCAGCGATGATGAGTGGAGCTTTATTCGCGACGGCGATTTCCTGTGCGACCCAGATTCTAGACCAGTAAGACCGCGACGTCAAGGCGTAGAGAGAGAGCATGTTGAAGTGAGATACCTCTACATTCTTCGTGAAGACTGCTCCCATTTTTGACATGACCTGGTCACTGCCAACTTGAGCCACTCCTGTCCATGCAAGCACTCGCCGAGCGGATCCATAGACTCTTTTCATCTCTTGCACTTGGTGGTTTCGCTCCTGGACATTCTGTTGATCAATACACAGAGCGTCAATCCAGATAGTCCGGCTAGAGCTCCTAAGTCGGAGATGTCGTAGCGCTGCCTCCAGATTACTCGTCACTTGGAGGTAACTATCGCCGATTCGTATGTAACGAGCGCTACTTCGGTCTCCCCAAGTATAAGACAGCGCATCGAACGAGACGTTACTGTCAAAGCTGAAGTGCTGTAAGCGACATGAGATCTCATCCTCGAATGATCCTGCATTGAGGACTAGTAACCTGATCTGGGACTTTGAAAAGTCTAAGGGAGTATATCGATACGACACCCGGTTCAGCAGATCCAACGGTCCCTGAGGGGCACTTTGAAGTCGTGGGCGCTTGCTCTTGTCGTCAAGAAGTGGTCCGAAGCGATTCTCGGCACTATCGGGGCTGATGAGCTTCCTTCGCTTTGTGGGAGTTACAGAGGAAAGCTCTTCAGGCCAATGGATGCTGGGTATGAGAGCTTCTTTTGGACGAAATCTCTCACTCGGTTTCGGGGCTCTAGGAGGCTCGCGGAATGGATCTGAGTGTATCACCTGAGCCGGGGGAGTACAAGGCGCGTCGATTTCGGCATCGTGGCCATCGGTCGTTGTCTCCATTGCGGCCTTCTCGATGAACGTCTCCATCGCATGTCATCTCAAGTTCGTTCACGAGACATATAAGTTTCCATACGTCGTTTGACTCGGCTTGCCGGGGGAGTGGCAGTGTCGGTCTTATGAGCGCAGCCATGAGGCTGCCAGGCTGCCTTATCCCTGCTGCGCCTCAGCGCCAGATAATTAGACAGGTTTGGACAGCATAATGCCAAAGCGTGCTATGCGCGTGCAGACATAGAGATTAACACTAAGTTTATTTATATAAAAAAAAGATAGCGTGTGTAGGTCTGAAGTTGTCAAAAATGATAGAGTGTAAATGGGATGTGAGACTCGCAACCCGAAGTGACTTGCGTTTCGCTCTAAAATCACGTGGACGTTCTAGTGATCTCCATCGCCGCCACCGTAAAACAAGCCAGACGGATGCAGATTTGATGGAATTCTTTGCACTCAATATGAACTCAGAAAGGCCTCATACATACAAAGGTAAAAGAAGAATCGGAGGCAGTTTCAGCTCATTGCTCTTCTAGTTTGTCGTCATCACCGGGTCTTGTGTTGCCTGATCATCATGATCGGCTGCGCTATCCCCCGACTCCGGCGGGCAAACAGTGGAGAATCCATAGCAAGCTCTGATTGGCCAGTCGAGTAAGATGGCTGGAATACTTATATTGTAGGGGGGAATAATTAGAGCGGGCTCCGTTCTATACGTCTCCAAAAAAAGGAGAACTATACTATAGCTGGTGTATCGTTGTTGGAGTAGAGGGTAAGAGATAGAATACCAACAGCAAGATCTCTCGCGGCCGATCTGACCAATAGACTGTTGTGTGAGACCTGAGTGCACTGTGCGAAACTTGACGGAGTCGGGTGTACGATCCAAAGTCCTGTTCTCGACTCGACGCCACAACGCGTCACTCGAAGCGCACTGCAATCCAAAAGGATATGGGTGGGGCGATCCGGGGCTCGGGATAGTGCAGAAGCTGGCTGACTAACAGGCACAGCAGTCAAGCTCGCTGTGACCGCCAAGCTCGCTGTGGATCGCCTAATTAGGAAGTGATATTCCTTGCTTACACAAGAAGTCTGGTTTCACAGCTCGGCTTCGAGGACCTGATCGGTCCTTTGGTTTTCCAGTTGTCGTCAGACACAGTCGTAAGATCAAACTATCTACAGTCGACTACCGTCTTCTTTGTATCAACTGCGAAGCCCCTCTTGCCACGCTAGTCGATCCCTAACCTCAGGAGCGTAGAGGAGTGGATCCTAGCGGAGGTATTAGGCCGACTCGAGGGCGGGCGGCCCACAATTCAGGCCGCTGCCGTTGACTTGATTCGCTGAGCACTTATGCTTGATATAGTGTGCCAGGAGTGGCTTATCAGTTGACACAAAGAAGACGGTAGATGGAGCAACCCGTTCGCAGTCGTCGCAAGCTGGTCAAGCTGCTTCATCAGCAGCACTCAGTTGTCACCAGTAATCCCCCCTGAGCTGCAGCTTCGCCATTCTGAGCATCTGAGCCCGAGGAGGCGGTTCTGCTGTGCTAGCTATAGAATATATAAGGAGGGGCTTCTGGCACTCCTTGCATACTATCCAAATCACTATCAGACAACCTCCTCACTTCCAATCCATCAGACATTCTTCTCGCTCCCGATCTACCAGACAATCTCGTTACCCCCGATCTATCAGACAATCTCCGTACCCCCGATCTTCATATCCAAATTCAAAATGCGCGTCGCTATCGCTGGCTCCGGAGATGTTGCACGCTACTTCGCCGAAGAGCTTGTCGCGACCGGTATCGATGTCATTGTACTAGGCCGTTCAGCAAAGCCGTACTTCGAGAACCTCCCCGGCATCCAGCAGGTCGTCACAGACTACTCGGTGCCATCTCTCGTGCAGGCCCTGGAAGGCTGCACTACCCTCATATCGACCATCCTCGAATACACGCCAACCTTCACCGACGTCCATCTGAAGCTCATCGAAGCTTGCAAACAGAGTGCCACAATCAAGCGCTTCATTCCCTCAGAGTACGGCGGCAACATCGAAGAGTTCCCCGACCAGCCGGCCTTCTACGCCGTCACCCGCGCACCAATCCGGCAGGCCTTGAAAGACCAGGACGAGCTGGAGTGGACCACGATCGCCTGCGGTTGGCTCGTCGACTACGTCGTGCCCAGCCGCAACCGCTGGATGAAAGAGATCGGCGACGTCTTCGCCATCGACCTCGCGGGGAAAAAGATCGTCATTCCCGGCACGGGGAAAGAGCCGCTGGACTTCACCAGTGTCAGGGACCTGGCCAAGGCGGTGGTCAAGCTCGTCCAAACGCCGAATTGGGTGCGCTACACGTACATCTCGGGGGAAAAATCTTCCTGGAATGATTTGGCGGCTTTGATCCTCGATAAATACCCCGACATGAGCGTTGAGTACCGTAGCCTTGCCAAACTGGAGGATACCTTTCAGAACGGCCCAGATGAGATGACGCGCCTCATCGCCGCGTATCAGATCTTCTCTCTCAGCGAGTCCGGGTCTTTGCCTCCCGCCAAGGTTGCCGCTCATCGCCAGCAGTTCTTTCAAGGAATCAAATTCCGGACGCCGAGGGATTTGGTGGAGGAAGTTGAGCAGCATCCGGATATCATTGTCTAAGGTTTGGATTCTGGGGAATGTGTTGACTGCCAGTGGCTAGCGTAATACATTCGGTCGGAGTATATTTCGGCGTCATGTTACTCTCCTTTTTATCACGTATACCTAATAATTTACCTCAATACAAAATCATGTTCAACCCGATCTGTCTTACGAACTCTTGGCAAGTCCATCAGGAATCATGTGTCAGGTGTTAGGCTCATGAATAATGACAAAGTGTTCAACCTCGAAGTCTTCAGATTCAATACCAAGGTACATCAAATTGAGGCAACTTCGCAAGAATCCGGGGCCAAGGCTCTGGCTTGCGCCCCGGCAGCGTTCCATCCCGTATCTTCCACACCTCCTCGGCCGCGAGAAGGAGCGTATCCCAAGACGCAAACGCCAAGTTCTTGCGCCGAGCGAAAGAAGCCCTCACCCTATTACGCAATTCCGAAGTGCCAGCCTCGAAGGCAACGGTCGCGTGTATCCAGGTCCTGGGATTTCCGCCCATTTGAAGCACGTCTAGATGTTCGATGTGCTCCACGCACTTTCTCACCAAGTCCTGAATTTCATTTTCCGGCTCCCTTCGGCCCGCGTTGCACCTGAAATAGAGCAGACACGCATGGTAAAACAGCCAGCTTTGGTGGTATACCATTGCATGGTCCTCGTTGTCTGTGTTGAGCTCGCTCGTTAGTGACGGCGTAGATAGGACGAACTCAATCTCGAGCCGATCCAGTTCCGCGGAGCCCATCACATCGCCCTGCAAAAGCCTCATGTTGAATGAGGAGATCAGTGCGAGCGACTGCGATGGAATGGCCAGGCTTTTGATTACGTCTAGTCCCATGAGGTCCATTTTCATGGGACCCGGAAACTCCTGGTAGCCGAGATACTGGGTCTGGAAAAAGGGCACGACGGCAGCGTAGCACTGATATGTGATCGAAGCCGAGACGGACTGAGTCCACGTTTCCATTCCAGTCTGCTTGAGCAGATTGCGAGCTACTTTTACCACTTCTCGCCACGCTCCAGGTGTGCCGCTGATGAATTGCGTGAGCAGCCATAGACATAAAGTAGAGAGGCTTGCTAATCGCTCATTCGCGTCAGTAGAGTGGATGTTGCGCATGAGATGGAAGAAGCTGAGACGCGTGTGCTGGAGCGCTAAGGCGCTATTTTCAGGCGAGCCCCCTCTGATGTTCGCCTGATGGGTGGTCGAAACAGCACAGACGGCGTGGAAAAGGGCCACTGTGCTGCTGGACTTGTCGCGGGCCATTCGGCTGCCCTCTAGTGCCATGGGTGAGACGACGGATAGGAAAGGGTTCACGGTACTGCGAACGGGCATGAGCTTGTCACAAAGGTGCGTCACCCAGTGGTTGATCAAGTGTCGGTGCTGAGCTGGAGCTGGCAGTAAGTCGAGATGTCTTGCTAGGTGACCCATTCCTTGTGACCGTAGTTGGTGATCGCGCGGATCGAAAGTAGCTGAGTAGATCGGGTTGCTGGCTTGGAAATCCGGAGCCATCGAAAGAAACGATGTCTCCGAGGTTGGTAGAGTCGATGGCGCGATACAATCCTGGTCTGCGCCTGCCAAGCCAAAAAAAGCAAAATCATCGAACCAGACGCCTGAATTGTGGTCCTTAGAACTCGCGTCTGTTTGAATGGTTCCGGGGAGGGAGAAATCAGTCGCGTACCCTCCGAACTGGTCGTATTTCTGTCTGGGAGGGTTCCCAGTGGCGATGGGCGCCTCGTAAGTTGCGGGCATTTCGTCGAGTGAATTCAAACCGGCCTCTAGGTCACTAAACCCTGATGTGCTAAAGGGGGTCTGGGACTCAAAATTGGGTCGGCGTAGGCGCCTTTCAACCCTATTATAAGAGTGAGGGTTACCCCCATCATCTCTGGGGTCGCGGCCCGTATCTTGCTCGTTGCTTCGGAAAACCGAGAAAGCTCCTCGTGTTTGAGGTATAGCGTCAGATGCGTGGCCAGGCGGATGAATCGCAGTTTGAAGACTATCAGAAGACGTGCTAATAGTAGATTGGTCTGAATGTCGCCGGTGCGCACGGGATTGACCATTGCCTTTCGGGAGCGGCACTTTGTGGGACTGAGAAACCCACGTCAGACGAGCTTCATAGCCGCGACAGGTGAATTTTCCAGCGAGACATCGCTTGCAGGCCGGTCGCTGTTCGTCGCATTTGACATGTCGACTCCGGCATGTCCAGCAGCCAGTGAATGTCTTTCGTCGCCTGTTTCGCACGTTGCCTTTTTGGGCCTCTTTCGCCCGCTCCGTAACCGCATGGGACAAATGATCTGGCGCGCCAAGGAGATCTGGGCTCATATGTTGAGAATTCATGAAAGAAAGCGCTAAAGAGGAAGTGAAAAGTGTTCTTTCTGTTGGAGTCTAAACTAGCGAGGACGATAATCCTGCCTTGAAAGACGTACGGATGAGGCACAGCTGATTGATAGCGCGTGCAATATCTAAACTCTCCGTCGGCGAGATTCATTCTCCGCGCTCCGTGGCGAATAGATCATCACGTGGGCTACTCTTTCTCTGGCTGTCAAGTTTCGTACAGGCTTTTTGATATACTTGTACTCTAGCTTTTGATATTCATATCAGCATACAAATACCAGGCATAACTCTAAGGGAATTTAAATATGTATGCGTGCTATTCACGTGATCTGAATTGTCGGGCCTATGCACTTCATCTCGGTGCCATTCATTCCAAAACCCCACTCATTCACACCTTCCGACAAGGTCTTCATCCACATTTTTCTTCTGCCTAATCTGGCTATTGGTCGCAGTAGAAAGGAAACCTCCCCTCCCTGCGACGAGACTTCGCTGCCGTCGTCGACAATGAATACCGTGCCCGTATCCGAGCCGCATCCGGTGGCAGCACTTCGGCATTGGATGTTTCGGCTCTCAAGGTCGCCAGCCGTTTCCAGAATCATTATGGAATCTAGTGTTCTCCGACGGTTGGTTCCTACGATGCTTGGATTCCGTGCGTGGTAGGCGAGGGTCGCGTGGAAGGGTGATCCATCCACAGCTGCCCTGATCTCAGCCCACTACACACTATGTACTTTACTCGAGTACTAGTGCCCTACCCGAATACCCGAACACATACTACTGACGGCTCAAGCGTCCCGCAACTTCTTGTCTCTGCGGGTCGCTTGTTCAACAATCCTCCAGGCTACATCTAGGTAAAAAAAGGTGATCTATGCTGAGTCCTGATCTACTCCAATGCTCAAGGTAACATTCACCGCTTCGTTCGTCTGCACTGAAGGCTGACTCTTTAGTCACTTATTCACCAAGGCCAACATGTTGCTCAGTTACAGAAGAATGTGGCAGGGATCCTCATCTGTCTTGAGTTGAGACAAGACTACGCCCAATTCTCTCCAATCTTAACTCGTTCAACGGTCGGGTCGAACCACTGGGACTCCGGCGATTCAATTGGACTGAGGGGCCAATCCGAAACCATACTAACATGGGTCAAAATCGTCCGCACGGTGTAAAGCTTGGCTGCGTCACTCAACCTACCGCCACTGCGGCTACTGAAAGTGTTTTCGTCGTAGTGACCACCAGCAAAGCCACATTAAGTATCAAGTATCTCTATAATGCTTATTCAACGTTTCCGTTTCCGTCTCTTCTCTTTTGCTACCCTTCTTGATATTGTCTGCGTAGTCAGACATTTCCTCCTCAATCCTTGTCACCGTTTAACATCTACATATCAGAGAAAATTTCCCTCATGCTGAAAGCCCTTCATGAGCTTAGAATCATTCAATTTTGTACCGCTCTAGGCAATAAGCTTCCGGTCCCTGAGTAAGGGAAGGGGCATGAGTTCTCTCGTCCGCATTTGAACCTTGGCTGCGATGAAGCATTATGGGAGATCGACTTCGAAATGTCGACAGCTGGTTAGACCAAATAATATCGCCGTTGTCGCACGAATCTTCTCCAAGGTCGAGAACGCTACGGTTACGGTGGCCTGTCTGGAACCTGACATTTGGCCCACCTACGTGTCGCGTACCTTGCGTCGAGGAAAAATAGGTCGCCCAGCCGATAGGGTTCGGCACAAGTGCCCTTACTAGACGCCACTCGAATGGTAGCGGGTGTTCGCGTCGCGGAAGTGAAAGCTAGCTTTTGTTTTCAAGGCACGTCTCTTTCATGGTATTCCTAACCAATTCCATGCCAAATCGAGTCATGATCAGAGTGGGGAACAATCAACTTAAGTTGATAGATTGATTGATTTGATTTGGTTCAACCAAATCAATCAATCAATCCGAAGAGGTGGATTTTATCAATCAAATCAACTTCAAGGCATCAAATTGATTGATTTGATTGGTTTGATTGATTCCTATTTGCGGAGCGTAGATAGAGTATCCTATAGAGAGCCCACCTAGCAGAAGTGCTTACTAAGCAGTCTCCTAACCCTGATTTTCATCCTAACTCACATCAACGCGTCCAACACCATACCACCTCTGTACAATATCGCACCCAGCAATGAATCAGAACCTTCAGAACGTACAGCAGGAAGTTATCGCACGCGCAAATCGAAAGAAACCTCCCCGTAAGGTTAATTCTATGCGCGCCGAAGTCAACACGAATGAACACGTCGAAACACCTGCCACGAACGACGACGA